TTGATGCTAATACAGTATATTTAATTGTTCCCCCAGAGGAATACGTCACCTGTCACACATGTCGGTCACCAGACACAATCTTGCAGAAGGACACCAGATTATATTTTTTGCAGTGTGAGACCTGCCATTCACGCTGCTCTGTCGCCAGCATCAAAACTGGTTTCCAGGCTGTCACAGGCAAGAGAGCGCAGCTCCGTGCCAAAGCTAACTAGTTGGTTGGCCGACACTGGATTTTTGAAAAGTGATTTTGGCACAAGTGGCTGGACAGGCTTACAACCTGAATGGATTTCCAGTGTATTAAAAACAAGATTGTAAAAGCTCCTTGGCTTTGGGTTGGTCTGTGAAATTCTTGCAAGATACAGATCCTCAAGCTGTTGACATTTGCTAACAGAATATTATACCAGCTGTCATATGTGATGAGAGAGAGGAGGTGCTTTTTAATCTGTTCATATTTCTGTATAATGCAAGAAAAATTAAAGTTATTATAACAGTGACTCTTTCATTTGAATTCTTTGGGTTTTTCCATTAAACATTTGCTGTGATAACAATACTTGATGGAAGTATCATGGCTGATTCCAAATAATCAGATGTGTTAGAAAAACATGTTCTTTTTGAATAAGTATATTAGAAGAGAAAATGAAAAAATAATGAATGAAATGGAATAACAAAACTATTCTGCCTCATAGAAACAGTTACTTTCATTCATATGACTATTTGCATAAACTAAACCTTAATTACATGGGCCAATTCCACAGATAGTAATGCTGATATGTAGATTATCTTGGTTTGATTTACTGCCCTTCATCACAATTCCTTCATGTTCTGGTCCCCATTCTCTTTCTGTATGCTGGGATTGTCCAGTGTAGTTTAGATTGTTCAGAGCAGATACAGTGTGCACTTACAGCATTGATGTGCATAGTTTTGGGGAAATACGGCTGGCAAGTAAACATGCATTATCACTGCCTTCTTTTTTAAAAGGTTCTGTAATGTTATTTTTCAATAGTCTTAGGACATGACAGTCAAGCCTTCAAATTAAATTTCAAGGATGGAATAGATGTGTGGTGTGTACGTATTTAAATGAAAGCATCCAGTTATAAGAGTTTATGAACTACTACACTTGTTTAAGCATGACAAAGCCTCGCCCTCTCACTTTCTGTAAGGTATATGGAGTAATTCTCTCCTCTCGAGTTAACAGAATTAACACTGATATAAAAAGCAACCTGCCAAGTGGCAATTTATATATTATATTTTGTTCAAGTTGATATATAAACATTTTTTGGATTTTAGTTAGTGTTCATTTCAGTGGTTTGAACAGGCACTTCCCTCTGTATCCTGCACCCCTTAAATAATATTAGGTAACATTCAAACAATTCTGGTCTACAATATATGGTTTATTTTTCCAAAAGCTTTTGAGGAAGTAAAGTCAGAAGAAAGAGTGGGATGGACACTTCTTACTGTTCACAAATGATCCAGAAATAAGATTGAATAGGCCAGGTTGGGTAAAACATGTGTGCATACGTGCACACGTGTGTGTGAGAGAGAGACAAAGGGCGGTGAAAACAAAAATGGACCAGAAAATTCCAAAGGATCTGAATAACACTGTGGATAAGCATTAAAATGGTGCATGTATGAAGTGATAGACTCTGGACCAGAAATTGTAGCTTCATGTATACAATAATGGATTTTGTGGCTGACTTACTAATTAAGAAGGAATCTTAGGTTTGAAGTAGCTCAATTAAAACTTAGATTTGACACCTTCCATGCTAGGGCTTAATTGAGAAGGAACTCAATTGAGAAGTTTCCAATAATTTCCCCTTTGAATTATGGTGCAACCACACTTGGAATATGGTGTACAGTTCAGCTTATTCTTTAAAATGGAGAGGATCATCCAGTAGGGCTGGATGATGGAAAACTTTGGATAGGAAAAGTTTCAAAAGAAAGAAGGTACTCAATGCTATGTAGAATCAAAATATGGATTGGATTACCCCTAGAGATAATGATGGGCAGCAGCTTGGCTTGAAAAGGAGATTATACAAACTTGTGTACAATATTACTGATAGAAGCTATCCATGGCTATCAGTTATAGTGGCTATTGTGCTCTCTCCAGGATCTCAAGCAGCATTTTTCCAAATACCAGATCCATGGGAGTACAGGTGGGGGTGCCTGCATATAGTGCTTGTAGCTCACAGCCATCTGGCTGTGTGTGGGGAAAAAAGGATCACAAGGTAGGCCTTTGGTCCAATCTGTCAGGATTCTTGTATTTCTTTGGTGTCTTTTGAGTTTTTCTTAATTATTATGTTAAAAACATGGAGATTAGAGAAGAGTGCCTTTTTGCTGGTCTGTTATTTTGCATATTTAGTTTGTAGCTATTCAACGGGAAGGAAATGTAAATATGGTATATGACTGTGAGAGGTGAAGGATGTATACATGGTATTAAATTAACCTGGGTATCTGTAATGTGGGGGGGAAATTGGGATTGTCAATATTTGTGGACTCATCCTTAACATAGCGATGATGTCGTTTTTTTTAGAATTCTCACCTGTGTGTTTACTAACAGAATTCAGTTTTGCCATAAGAATTACTTTCTATTCATGAGAACAGGGAAACTAAAGCCTTGGTTTTCTAAATTGTTTCTAACAATATCTGACCTGTAATGAATGTTGGATGTATCTCTTAAAGTGAATAAAGCCAAGATCAGTGCCTCTTGCATAACTTTACTATGGCATTGTGATTGTCTTCCTGGGCTGTTCTGACAAACATAACTATTTCAACCCAAAGTAGTCATTTACATATTATTCCCATTTTGTCTATGTATTTTTAACCAGTTAATCATGGTATATGACTTTTTACTTCTTGGTGAAGTTTAAAGATGCATTGCAATACAGCAGATTTGCCGAAACAATGCACATCTTGATCAGATCAATGCCTAAATGAAGAAAGGGGAGTTTATAGAGCCAACCTGTGTGGCCTTGAGCAAGCTGCACAGTCCCAAGATGCCCTGAAAAGAATATGAGTATTTGTATTCACGAAGGCTTTCACAGCCGGGATCTAATGGTTGTTGTGGGTTTTTCGGGGTTTTTGGCCGTGTTCTGGAGGTTGTTCAGAACACGGCCAAAAAGCCCGCAAAACCCACAACAACCAATATAGTATTCTCTACCTAGAAAACTGTGGAAATGGTTGCCATAAGTCAGCATTTACCTGATGGCACATAATTATTATCGCTTAGCTGTGCTATATTAATCTCTGCAGGGGTCATAAGAAGCCTATATGACTTTTTTGCTTCTTTCTTTACCAGCAGCAATATGTGCTAGCTCCGAAGCTTGCACCACCACCCCATGGTATTTCCTACTGTCTGTGTTTGCAGAGTCTCTTGCGTGTTTTAGTCCAACATACAGGGACACAAAGTAGGGAACCACAGTTGTTTAGTCAGCTGCTTTGATGGATGTGAAGTTATGGAGAGTGGACACTGCAAAGCTAATCTTAAAGTGCAAAACACGTTTCTGAGTGCAGCTATTCTAACAGAGTGCACATCAGATATCATTTCAGATTCTTCACGGCACTCCTATCCATATACAATATATATATTGTTAGAATAGTTTAAAATAAGGGCAGCTTCATATAACAAACCTTGAGGTTTAGGGGAGTGGGCAGGCAATTTTCAGCAAAGGTTTTGAATATTTTGTGTAAAGGTGCAGCAGTGGATCTCAGGGCAACAATGCACTGTGGTACTTTCTTGATCTTGGAACTTGCAGCAAACAGTGGCTGGAATCCTAATGTGCAAGTTTGTGCCATGCAATTGTAGCGATGTTATCTGTTACACTATTTAGAGGCAATGAAGAGCTTCCTATTGCTCTCACCAGAAGGGATGCCTAGGGATCCCTTCTATTGTGGAGAAGCTTTGGGAGCTGCATAACAGGGGAGGGAACTCTTTATGCCTGAAAGCTGGCAGCAGCAGAAGAGAGACCAGTGGGCGCCAATTTTATGTATTAAAAGAGTTCTTCCCTTTCCCCACACTTCCAAAAGTCATCTGCAGGACAAAAGGAATCCCTAGAGATTCTTGGAACCTGGGAGGGGGAAGAAGCTTTTAATTTGAAATCCATCCACCCAAATAGCTGTGAGTGATATCATGTGTAAAGCTGCATTGTAAGATTCCTGCCATAAAGCCAAAGATAATGATTTTATACTGTGGGACTCAATATTTACATAATGCAAGGATGATGTTCAGTTGCTTTGTTTACAAAAAGCTCATTCCTTGGCGTTAACAAAACTGTTCCAGGTGTCTCCTTGTGTTTGAAATGGTTGTACCATAAAATAATATACTGTATTGTGCACTATACAAAAAACATACTTTAATACCATTTAGGCATTCAAAAAGGGACTAATTTTAAAATATGAGCAGAGAGAATGTTCTCGCCCCATGCTCTGCATTACACTAATCTCCATGAAAAGATATCCAAGTCATGTGGAGATGCTCCAGCTACCCATGAAGACAGGATAGGGCATTTGGGACTCTTAGAAAATGGAAAAATTGCCCCCATCCCTCCTAAAGTGTAGAAAAGCTTTTTGAGCCATTAAAAAATGCCATGTATGTGAGAGCACCAGGGGACCTGGGGGCTGAACGTTATTCATCTCTGATATACATTAATTGCAAATGCAATCTATAGCTGAAATGGCAACATGTATAGATGAGGGAGGTTTAATGTATATCAACCAAACTAGGCTGTTTGATGCTGACACAGTCTAGAGTTTTTCTAAGCTAATAATTAGTATGCTTGAGTTTTAAAAATTGCGATACCACAGGGTGAATCAAGTTTCTCTCTTTATTATACAGAATTTTATATACAAAGCCCCACCCCTGCCCTTTTTTCCCATCTATACCTCAGTCTGATGGTCAGGTCATAGCAAAACAAAGCCTAGAAAGCAGTTCTAAAATAGCTCAGTACAACAAAGTGACCAGACTTTGCAGGAGGAGCCAGTGGAGAAAAGAAAGAGAGGGAAACTTGAAATATTGCCTGTTTTTTATTCTTCAGGGTGTATTCTTTTCAACCAAGAAATATACATAAGTCATTGTGCTTTGAGAATTGTGATCTTCTGTCAACGAGCCCCAGTGAAGGGACATTTTCTGTGTTGGGATATGTTTTCTGGTAGAAATCCTTTGAAATGGTAGAATCAAGGCCTTTTGCTGACCTTTCTAAACAGCTGGTTAGTCTCTTTAGGATTAAAACTCACTGCTGAAGAAATGTCACATCATGTACTTCTGAAGCTGGTGGTGAGGATTTTTCTACTTTTGAGTGGGTTGTGAAAAAGGCATCTTTTTTTAAAGGTGCAATTTTGTGGGATATGTCAATAGAATAAGCAGAACAAGAGTGCTTATTTTTTCTCTGTATGGATTTGTATGTTAGTTGAAAGCATCTGTATGTCAGAGAAGGGGACTCAAGGAATCATCCTTTCCCTTCCATCTTGGGTCTTTTGTAACACAAAAAGGAAACACAGTGTTATCACTGGTTCTGGCTGTCATATGCTTTTTGGGTTGTCATTACCCTTCCTTTAAACCTGGTTTGTTTCACTTTTTCCTTATAAAGAGCAAATAAATGACTTAGAGGACTTTAATGAACCACACGGGCTCCAGATTATAAAGGAAATGTTTCCTATCAGATTCCTTTATTCTAGAATGTTTGATTTAATGTGTGTCTCCTTTTATAGCCTTCGTTTTAATTTTACATGATGCTCACACCTGGCAGACACCTACTACCTGACTGAAGCTTTATGTGATTCTTATGGCAATGAGAAGAGGAAGGTGATGAATCTTATCAAATGACTAATTAATAGTCATGTTCTCTGCGTATCTTTCCCATTGTGCCACATGACAATGAGATGCTCCAAATGCCAAAGTCTGTATTGCTGCAGAGTGACATGGATTCAAGCTGCTTAGAAGGAGGCCCATGGATTATCAGGAGCTACCTCTGGCTATCCTGCTCAAGGTAGTCAAAAACCATAAATTGTACACAGTGAAATACCTTTCTCTCAATTTACACATCAGAGTTGCATCTTTCTTTGGAACGAGGCTCTTTATATAGAGTCTCTCTCTCTTTCTTTCCCTGACGCTCCAAATAAAACCTCAGACTTCCATCTGCCAATAGAAAATAATTCATTCCAATATCTGGCTACCGGAGAACACAGCACAAGTAATACTTGTGCTGGCAATAGGGCTCAGTGTCTGTAGTACAAAGATGGGTCAAGGGGACCAGACGATGATGAAACTCCACTGGGATGACTAGTTGGTTGTGTACTACAAAACAGCTTGACAATATTGGTCCATGTTTCTCCTTTTGAATGCCAGGCAGAAAGATGATGGCAGTCCTGCAAGTTATACGTGTCTGGCTCGACATGACAAGGCAGGGTTTAACCTTTTGCTGTCCTCTATTCACTGCTGGTAAGCTGAACATGCTAAAATGACAGGGAAAGAAAGAAAGAAAGGAAGCTTTTAAAACACTATCAAAATAGCTTATCATTATGATTTGTGGTCAAATAAAATGCAAATGAACATTTTCTCAAAGTTATAATTGTGACTTATGGTCAGTTACAAGAGAGCATACAAACAATAGGCTCTCACCCTGTGCACTGTTAAACATACCTAGTTACTGTAGGCTGGAGTCTTCCACATCTGTGTAATGGCTATTCTCCTGTGAAAAGAGGAGGGAGAGAAAAAGAGAGAGAGAGAGAGAGAGAGAATTATCGGATGGTGATGATAATGATGACAACAATGGACGAAAGTTAGGTGTAATGTAGGAAAAGCCTAATAGTAAAATCTTGCGCATAGCTAATTCAATGTATTGATTTCTGGAATCCTCCCCCCCAACTTAATTTTTAAAATATCAAGTTCTTTCTCACTAGAATATGATATTTGTAAATTTTGGTCCAAAATGAACTGGACAGTTCCTGCCAAATTCTGCAGACACTGTTATTCTCTGTATGAGGAGAACCACATGGTATCTGCCGGCTATGTAGCTGTTCAAGATAAGGAACCTGTTGTAAAGCAGAGGAGATGGTGATCCCAGTTCAGCATTACAGAGATTCAGTCCTGGACTTTGAAGAGCGGAATACTCAGGTTTCTGGACCTGTGTCATGCTTGCTACCTTTTTAAGCCTCCAATATTTAAAAATCTCATTCTTTCCATCCCAAGTACAAGTGTTAATAAAATAACAAACACAGGCTTAATCCATCCTTATGTCTACATAAATGCTTACAGGATTACTGTAAGAACCCTCAATATCTACTCAAGTAAATTATATTGTATTCACTTGGATTTAGTCTCCCATGTATCTATCTGAACAAAAAGTGTTATATATTAGCAGTAAGCACCTGGGGATATGGATGCCCCACAAAAGAACCCTTATTGCAGGATATTGTTTATTTCCTGTACTGCGAAGCTTGTTGTTTAGATGGCACTGAGTCTGTGCAATTGTAATTTTGCATGAGTTTGCAGCCATGGTGTTTTCAAAGAGCATCTTCTCTCTCTAAATAAGCTTGAGTAGAAAGCCCTGCAGTGCAGAAATAATAATAGAAAGATAGTATGAAATTGATTGGAAAAGGGAAGAATCTGTTAAGCTCATTAGAAGACTTGGACTGACTGTGACTTCAGTTGTCTCTGTTAGGAGCCCCATCCTCTTTCTGGCTCCAAGACATAAGCTCAGAATTCATGGTCTCCTTTGCTGCACTCTTCAGTAAGATCGGTTGCATATATTCAAGAAGTAGAGGCTGAGAATGGGCCACCTACTTCACAAGAGGAGAAGGAACTGTTAATGGACGAGATGGAAAAAACAACAACACAGGAAGTCTCTTTAAATAGAATGCAAGTGAAAAACCTGGGAAAGGAATGGCCAGTAGGGGGCACAGTTTTGATGGGAAATGAAGGATGTATGAAGGGAGGAGAAGAAGTGAGTTGTGTGGTAGTTGCGTACTGAGCTGAGGAGGAGAAGGATACTGGAAAAGGAGTTGGTAGAGATTATAGAAGAAGACTCCTGGACAGAGGAATGAGCACCTTTGAAAGTACCTAGGGAAGTGGCTGAAAAAGAGTAGAAGGAAAGACAAGTCTGTAAGCCTCCATACAGGGGAGAGATGGCAGAGAGGGAGGCATAAAAGAAAAAAAAGATTTCCACGAGAAGCCAACAACAGAGAGGCCAAAAAAAAAGTCTCTGTTTCCCTGGGATGAATCATGGAGTAACCCAATACCCACCCAAAATTTGGAAGGATGCCAGGATGAAGGTGTGGAAACCGAATGTGGGCTGGGTGTTTCATCCTTAAGTTCCTATGAGCTTGTGCTTAACCTCTTCACTCCTGTCATTAATAACATGTTGTTGCCAGTTGGTTCTTGGGTTGGACCTACTGTTAAAGAAAAAGAGAATGCGGGAAAGGATTTATGGAACACTAAAGGAGAGAGAGAAGCATTATCTTTGTTCCAAATAAACTTGTTAAAGTAAAAATTGAGTCCTTGCCTACTGATAAAAATAAGGAATCTGATAAAAGAGATGGGGGAAGCTGGTGTGAACCGCACAATATGCTAATGAATACACAGAGAGTTTCTTCCCTTCTAGATACTCACATAGGCAAAGGGAGGGGGAGGACAAAATATTGTGGCAGCTTGAAGATGTAACAGATGTGGTTCTGGGTCAAAATTCACTTCATTAGATGCACAAGTGACCATACTGTGCCATCTGTGTTTTTATATATCCCCACCATTATAGAGATTCGTCTAAATACAGATGGTATGGTACAATATGGTCATTTCTGTGTGCCTGAGGAAGTGGAATTTGATCGCTGAAAGCCTGCATAGAAACAAATCTGTTAGTCTTTAAGATGTCATAATATTTTGCCTTCACCCTAGCCTCAGCATGCTGAAATAGACCAACATGACTATGCCGTTGGAAACTGTTAAGGAAATTTTGCAATAAGTAAAATTTAATCTCTATGTTTGTCTATGCAAAGACTGTATTGTTTTGCTGCACTGTAACTCATGCATTTCACGTTATGGCAATGGGCACAGGTAGATCTCTGAACTGCAGTCTGCCTTGTGCTTTCAGAAATGGGCAGCCAGCATTTTGTTTTATCCTACTGTGCACAGTTAGGTATAATCTGTTATCAGAATACCTAATGCCTACAACCTATCAGTAATTCAATCAGTCTGAGATTGATTATGTATCTCATTTAGAGATGTAAAATTTCTGAACATTTTCTCTTTTCTGGGAAAAAAGCACATTTTTGTTTCCATTTTTTGAAAATGGAAGTGTTCAGAAATGTTACATCTCTAATCTCATTGCACCCACCCAAATACTATGTTACTGTTAATGTTGCAATATTCTTTTATTAACTTGTTACATTTCTAGTTGCATGACTCATTGGAATTTGTTGACTTTCTGGAGAAAAAAATTACAATGTACAAGAAGATGGCATAAAATTTGGCAAAAAATGCCAATAAATGTTCTTAAAAGATAACATTTCCTAATGCAAATTACTTAAGTAAATTTATTTCCATTTATGATGTTACTTTTGAAATGAAACTTTACACCCTTGTTATTTGAAAATGTAACTTGTGATAGCTATGTCATTGATTAACTTCTCAGCTCTGCAATGGACTCCCAGTCTGACTCAGGTTAGGGTAGCTTTCTATCCCTAAATATTGTAGTGAAATAGTTTTTAAAGTATTCCAGCCATACCATTTCTACTGCAATTGACATGATGTTGCTTGTGCTGCAGATTTTAGGAGCATTGTCTGCAGAACTAAGAAGAGTGTGATCTGTGGATACATGCACTGTTACCTCTTGTCAGGACTCTCGGCCAAGATGTTTGCAATAGGTTTTCCTTCCTGTGTACTTCTTTGTAGTAGTAATTGTTGCCTACTATTCATTAATTAGCATCTTAAAAAGCAGAGACATCACCTTGCCGACAAAGGTCTGCATAGTCAAAGCTATGGTTTTTCCTGTCGTGATGTATGGAAGTGAGAGCTAGACCATAAAGAAGACTGAGCACTGAAGAATTGATGCTTTTGAATTGTGGTGCTGGAGGAGGCTCTTGAGAGTCCCCTGGACTGCAAAGAGAACAAACCTATCCATTTTGAAAGAAATCAACCCTGAGTGCTCACTGGAAGGACAGATCCTGAAGCTGAGGCTCCAATACTTGGGCCATCTGATGAGAAGAGAAGACTCCCTGGAAAAGACCCTGATGTTGGGAAAGTGTGAAGGCAAGAGGAGAAGGGGACAACAGAGGACAAGATGGTTGGACAGTGTCATCGAAGCAACCAACATGAATTTGACCCAACTCCGGGAGGCAGTGGAAGACAGGAGGGCCTGCGTGCTCTGTCCATGGGGTCACGAAGAGTCGGACACGACTTAATGACTAAACAACAACATTCATTCAATGACCCTGTCCCTTTGTCCTGAGCCCAGCCAGCGCTCACTTGGAGAGAACAAAAGAGAGTAGATAAGATGTGCAGATATCATTGCTCCTATCATGACTTGGTAGCAGAAGTGTAGTAGAAGAGGAAACATTCTTCAGAGCAGAAGTAAGATCAAGGAACTCTGGGTATGAGCCCCACAGAATCTAACTGCATCCAGGCATAATCCAATGAAGAGCTATCAATGTACAGGTACACATTTGTATGCATATGTATTTCCAGCTAGATGGGGAATATATAGATGGGAGTCTAAATCCCAATCCAACATTCATACAAGTTTTCTAGAAAGAAAAGTGTGGAATTCCAGTGATTACATTGGCAGAAAGTGTTAATGGACCGGATTCAGCTTCCATGCCAAACAGCTGCTGGGCAGATTTTATGTCTAAAGGTATGTATTCCTTCAGATAACCAGTCTGGTGTAGAGGATTGGATGGGGGCTTAGGAGGCTTCAGTTCGAATCCCTGTTCAGCCATGGAAACTCATTGAGGTTATGGAACTAGTAAAACTGCTCCTTAAATATATCTCACCTTGAAAATTCTACAAGGGTTGCTATAACTTGCTGACATATAACAACAAATGCATGTATTAAAAGGGTTTTAATGTCGAATGACTTGTGAGTTCAGAATCAAGGCAATATGCTTTGGGGCAATTTTGCACTGCTACATATTGGACTCTCTGCTTGAGGACTGCATGAGGTATTTCCCATTCATCTATTCAGACAGTCAAACACATGAGTTTAAACTATTAGGAATCCAGAATCTTTGCATTTGCCTGGGGTTGACAGCTGAGAAAAACCTGGACTTGCTGGTGATGCAAATTTGACAAGACAAATCTCATTCTTAGCATCACTAGATGGAAGAGCTGCTCCTGGTGGATTGCAAAGGAAGTTAAGCTGTAACTGATCTCATTTATTCTGGGATTAGGCAGTGGATGGAGAGGAGACATGTAAGAATATTACTTTTCCCCCAGTGTGATCATTGTTAAAATTGCACAAAGCCTATTAATCCACACAGGTAGTGGAAGAATAACACTTCACTATTGTCTCTTACCAATTCATCTTCACAGTCGTCCCGCAAGAGACCTTCCTCTTCCCCCTCCTCTCCATTTAAAGGCTCCTCTGTGTTGACTTCTGCTTCTGATGCTGTGTCTTCTTGGGAAACTTCACTTTTGTTTCCGTCTGCTTTCTTTCTAACCTCTGCAGGGTAAGATCCAAAAAAACAAGGAAATAAGAAGGAGTCCCTTCTTCTCCTGATAGACACTGTCAGGCTTACTCAGCAGTGGCAGTAGGCACAAAAGAACTACTGCTTTAATTTCCCACAATGCTTCAGGAGATTATATTAGATCCAAATCAATTCAATGTAACTAACCAACAACTGAGAAAAAAAATCTTGCTTCCATCTCCTGTGATAATATTTGAAAAATAATATTAATGCTCCAGGAGATTATATTAGATCCAAATAAATTCAGTGTAACTAACCAACAACTGGGGAAATCTTGCTTCCGTCTCCTGTGATAATATTTGAAAAATAATATTATTTCAAGCAAACCAATGCAAAATCATCAGCTTCTGCATCAGATGAAGTTGAGATGATTTGTACAACCATGCTATCTAGGACCATTTGGAGTTGACAATACTGTGATGCTTATATGCTGCCAACCCCTAGTTCCCCTGTGGTTTGTTTACCAGAGGAATGGCATAGCCATGACCTCTTCTTCATTCAGAGCCTGAACACTGTGTGGGTGGGTTATAAAAGCTACCTATTTGCTCCTCAAAAGTCACGAAGGGTGGAGAGATGTTATCAAATTTAAATGTATTTGATTTTATTTTCCATTGAGTCTTTCCTTTTGGCAGTTGCTCAGTTCCTGAATACAGCAGCTCCAGTAGGGGAAGGAGGCTGTCAAAAATCATTACAGATGCATGGGCTTATAACTCCTGTTAGGTTGTGATGCTTTGGCCTCTGGCCAGTTTGGCCATAAAGTATCATCTCAAGGACAAGAAAAAAGAAACCACGGGTGACAGACTTAATACAGCTTTATCGGTATGTGGAATGTAACTGCCATTGTTTATTTATTTGAACTTCTATACTGCCCATCAGGGTGAACACTCTCCTGGCAGTTCACAACCCATCAAACTATAATTGCAATCACACAAACAGGAAAATGTGATAAATGCAGTAAAAAAAATACCCCATATAACCCGTGCCTAGCTGGATCTTATAAAACTGAATTTAAATCAATTAAACAAATTTAAAGCAAATATGAACTTTCCAGGTCAGTTTGTGAAAGGCAGCTTGGTTTTTGGTTTTAATTCACTTCCTGAAAACTAGGAAGGAGGGCTCCTGACAAATTCTGTAGGAAGGTTACTCTAGTGGGAAGGGGCCTCAACCAAGAAAGCATGGTTCCTCATATTAACTCTTTTGGCTTCCTTAAATATCAACTATTTTTAGCATCAAGAACTGCAAGGGGCGAGTGGGATAAGTAGCTATTTAGGCTTGCAAAGACACTTCTTCTTTGCTCTTTTTTCATAATATTTGTGAGAAAAATGCTTGTAAACCATTCCTCTCCTTTTTGATGATCTATTACAGAAGTTGGCAAAATGGGCAAAGTGTCACCTGACATAGACAGGCCCAAAATGTTTACTTGGGTCTCTCTGCGGTATGGAAAGCGATTCTGCTATGATTTACCCACTTGCTCCCCACTTTTGTAATTTTTTTTAAAAAATCCAGGCTGCAGAGCCTTTTTCAAATAATTTCTTTTCCTGGTGGGCAGGGAACGAGTGCAATCTCCTAAAGGTCCTGTGTGTGTATGTGTGTGTTTCCCTCATACATCCACTACTACAGTCACTTGTTCTCAGTGGTGCTATCAGCTGCTAAATTGTAGCTGAACAAAAATAACAGGTCTCCAAGTTAAAGAGGGCTGGCCATAGCCAGGTAGATTGTATTCAGTTCCTTTCTGCCCCTGAGCTCTGTCAGTGCCATGGCTCTTTGAGGGTACATTTGCAGCCAGCCAACTGACCTGTAGATGATTTCTGCTGTTCCGCAATCTGCTCCAATCTGCCCAGGAGAGCGTCAATGTTGGATTTGATCTCTGTCAGCTCTGTTTTAATTGTCTGCAGTTCGTTGCATTTCACTTGGAAAAAAGAAGTTGGAAGTTAGCTTTACATTTCTCCTCATTCCACATATGAGTGTTTTTTTTTGTTAGCAGAGATCTAGTTATTTGGCATATGAGTTTGTTTGTTTTTTTGTTAGCAGAGATCTAGTTATTTGTTTCATCTACTATTCAGTAGCATGTCCTGCTTGGTAGTCATCACACCATAAAGCTCTTGGGTTCAGTATATGACAAGGTCTTATTTGCCTTTCATAGCTGTGAAGAAGACAGGAGAATGCTGGCAGGAACAAGTTCTCCCACGACAGTGGACATATGAGAGATGGCCAATGCCCAAATTTTCATATACTGTGAACTAAAGGTATGGAACTCATGCACTACAGTGACTCTAGCAGGATGATGACTTTCCTTGGAAGATATCTTGGCCACCAAGGAGTAAGAAATTAGAATTACTTAAAAAACAAATCCTAACGATTTTTCCTTCCCAGTGTCTTGGAACTTGGAGCTCAGTGGCTTCTTCTTCAGTTGCAAGATGTATAGTACAGTTGGCTTTAGGAAAAGGAAGATCTTGAATTGTTATTAAACAATTTTTTGTTAAGTATAGGTAAAAAAGAGTTACTAACAAAGTATTGCATCCAGTGGGCAGTCCTAATGGTGGAATCCAGCAGAACCAGGAGAGGGGAAATATCCTGTGCATGCACGCATGCACACACACAAACTGGGTCTGGTGACTTGGGGCACCTTTGGTTCTGGGATTTCATAGAGGGCTGAAAGGGAGGGAAATTTCATGCCACAACAAACAAGGAAAACTGAATGTAGCTCTCTGTGTGCAGACAACTCTACACATTTATTGATTGATTGATTGATTGATTGATTGATTGATTGATTTGATTTGATTTGATTTGATTTGATTTGATTTATACCCCACCTATCTGGACTACTCATCCACTCTAGGCGACCTGTTTACTATGTATATCCCACATAGTTTCCCACAGCAGATACTTAAAACATATGCAACATGCATTCACTTACATGCCTCAGGGTCAGGATTATAATTACTTCTATAAAAGGAACTGCAGCAAAATGTTGTTGTTGTTCCATGTATCAGCCTGACAGTTATGGTTTCTTTCTGGATACTCTGTGTATTCCTTAGCCCCTGGGTTACATGCTGCTCTGCATGCTTAGTTCGATTGGAATGCTTTGTTTTTGCTCCTCTCCAAGCTTTCTCTTCCTAAATATTTTTCTATATCTGCAAAGCATGGGGTTCTCCCCAAACCTACTACTACCTTGTTCTTGTCTGTAGATAGTGCTAGACTGGCTATGCAAGGATCCATTCTCAGAGACAATGTCCACTATTACTGTGTAGGATATTTATTTTTAATATCATCTTTTTTGCTAAGAAGTTGGAAGGGAGCACATCTTCTCTCACTGTATTGTCACAACAATCCTAAGAAGTAGGTTGAAGTGAGAGAAAAGCCCAATATTATCCAGTAGGTGCTCTGTGGCTTGGGTGGGATTTGGGACTAAAGTCTAGGCGAAACATAAACATTTCTTTTCCAGGGGTTAAAGAGGAAGACAAGTAGGGGGACCACACCCAAGATGTCAGCAGGAAAAATAAAAGGAGAAAAATCTGATGCAGAATGAAATAAAATTAATCATTGTTCATAAATAGTTCTCAAAGTGGTAGCTGTGTTAGTCTGTGCAAGCATATCAGCAAGGAACACAATGTGATCTTTTGTGGAACATGTCCACTTCATCAGACATAAGACTGAGAATACAGAGACCATCATCATCACTTAGAACTGCAGAGCTGGAAGGGATCCTATGGATCATCAAGTCCAGCCCCTATCAAGCAAGCACAGTGAGGAATCAAACTTCCAACCTCTGGCTCTTCAGTCAGATGCCTAAACCTCTGAGCTATCCATAATTTCACATGGTAAAGCATTCAGTTTGAATCCACCAATCACAACTTCCCTTTCTCTTAGAGCCCCGTATGAACGTTTTGTCATGTGGTATCTGTATTTTGAAAGCTCACATTAAAATATAGCAGTTAAGGTGCCACAATATCTCTGTCTTTAAAAATAAATTCTGCTTTTGTTTTGTTTTGTGTTCCTTGTTAAAATGTTTATAAACGTCTAAATCAAGCACTCTTCTTCATGACATAAGGCTTCTGAGAGACTTCTGAGAGGGCTCTTTTGCTAACTTGTCATGAAAAAAGAGAGATCCCTTCTTACTACTGGATTTCTCAGAAGTCTCAGCTTACACACCAGCAATCTATAAACAATTGACATGTATTCGGCACCAGACTTTCTGCCCTCCGCTTCCCCTCCCCCCATAATTAAAGGGACTAAGGCTAGGGATGAGTGTGTATGCTTGAAAGTGTTTGCTGTGGAGGATATCCATGGAATTTTGCCTTAGAAAGACCTGGTTGTTTCCTTCTACTGCAGCCTCCCTCTAAGTACAGTGGTGCTTTGCTAGACGATTACCTTGCTGGATGAAAAACATGCAAGACGATTGTTTTTTGCGATCACTATGGTGCCTCGCAAGAGGTTTTTTTCTATGACCATGCTTCGCAAGACTTTTTTTTAGAACGACGCTTCGCAAGACTTTTTTTTTAGGCTGATGCATAGGGAACTTCGCAAGACGATTTTTTCACAAGATGACGATTTCTGTGGAACGAATTAAAATCATCTTGCGAGGCAAAATCTGTAATATCCTCCACATGTGTTGCAGTGCAACTCTCATCACCCCAGTCTAGCTACACTGGAATGTTGGATGTTGTAGTCCATTGCATCTGAGGGTGACAGCTTTGGGAAGTCTGTTCTACTATGACTTGCAGTACAATTATAAATCAAATTACTGCAGCAAATCAGAGACTCTATTGAAAGAACCAGACCCACTATATAATATAGTAATTTGATTTATGATTGTACTGCAATCAACTTTTTTGTGTTTATAAGCTGGCTCAGGGGACCCTGTGCTCTGGAAAATAGATTATAAATGCTTTTATAAAAAATAAAAATATAAACACAATTAACCATGTTTGATATGTAAATCTGTCATGACAGAACAGCAACTCAAAAACAGCTACATTCTCAAAAGTGCAAATATTATGTCTTTATAAAACACAGAAACTTACATTTTAATTTGCCAGAGCTGTTTGCAATGGCAGCAGATCGGGCAAAAAGTTTGACTGGGAGTGTTGCTTTTACGCGCCTTACTAATGGGATGGTCACTCGTGGACGTTTCACAGGAACCACTCTGGGTATGGGAGACACCTGTCCCCGATATTCAAAGAGTCTGCAAGGGAGAATAGGTTAAGCACTTTACAGCAGCAGGTTACACCAGGCTGGGGAAATGCATATGTACCTTTAACCATCTCTGAAGGACATGAGTGAAAAATTGCAACTTTCCTCTAGAGGGAGCTGGCATTCCATCCCTGCCAGCTTGGCCACTGTTCTCTGGGAGAGTAAAAGCCACTGGGAATGATATTTGATCATGAAGGCTCTGGGAGACACATTTGCCAAGCCATTACACTGTGAGAGAATGCTGTTAAATCCACACAGAAGACTTTTGCTTAGCAAATCACAATCCCCTGCAACACTGTGACTTTTATATGTTTTTAGAACACATGGCTTAAGCATTCCATTCTCAGAGTTAATTGAGGAACTCAGGGACTTCTGGACTGATGTATGTAGTTGGTTCTGTTGGCTTTCTAGCCTGTCACCCCCTCTTCACTCCTGTATTCTTTATCTCAGTTTTGCATTTCTTCATATTCTAACATCCCTGCCTTATTGGTGGGTATTTGGTAATACTGAATGATGCTTTTTTAAATCATGAGGTTTCAGAGACAAGGAAAGGCAGGCACAATGATATTTACCCTGGATACAAGCAAGCAGGAAAAGGAATTCCTCAGCTCATGATTCATATTCCTTCGCAGCTCAGGGGAAGCTTTTCAAAACCAGCAATTATGGGCTACAGCAGACCTGGGCAAAGTGCGGCCCGAGGGCCTCATACGGCCTGCAAGACACTCCTCTCTGACCCGCGGACAGTTTTGAATATCAAAACCATTTATAGCTTCCTGTCTAAAGTTGATCAGTTGCTTATCTTTAACATACCACAAAAAACCTCTTTAGTATTTGTGAAGATTAAAAGGTTTAAAATAAAAACAATCATAACATCAATGTTTCATTTTTAAGTAAAGTTGGTTCGGCCCCCTAACATAGTTCAGATTTTTCATGTGGCCCCCCTATAGAAATTAATTGCCCACCCCTGGGCTACAGCAACACTAAGGAGGCCTACATGGGAAGAGTCCTCATGGACTCACTTGGGGGGTGGGGAAGAATACCTCAAGCTTACCCAAATGTAGAGGAAGGAGTGCAGTAGCAACAAAGGCTGTTGGGGAAAAGGATAGAAATAGATTGTGTGGAAAAAGTACATGGTTTTGGATCATAAACCCAGATCTTAAAGTCATCAAATGCTCATCCAGTTCTACCACAGACTGTCTCAGTAGCCCTGAGGCAGTAACCCCAATCTTGGCCTGCAGACTGATGTGGCCACCTTAGAGAGTTGATTTTGAAAGTCATGAAAAGGTAGCACATTGGTAACTATTTAAATGTATAATTATCATACTTTTTTGCCAGGGAGATCTGGTTGTGGGATTATCAGCTTCAGGGGTCTAAATAATTAAGCTGGTCTTGGGTACTCTGCACCTTGACATGGTGTGCCCTTTGCTGGTCTGCCTCAGGCAATGAAGTGTTTTGGGCTCATCCTGGAGAAACTCAAGTTTCACTTTCATATTCATCTTAGTGATTCGGGGATTATATACATGCCCTTTAAAACTTTTTCCCATTTTAGGTTTCCAAGGAGCTAACACATCTCTTGCATAAATCAACTTGACTCTATCACCCTACTCTGATGTTATTAAAAAGTATGCAAAGCACACATAATGGCTGAAATCCTGTTCACTCAATTACTTCTGTGGAAAGATAATGAAGTCATCAGTGGGTACAAATTTTGGAAATTAAATACTTCCTATTTCTGCACTGTCACTCCCTTTTCAATGCTTGGAAGCTATGGGAGTGCAGGATGGGAACGGGATGACAATGCTGGCAGCCATTTTTAGTAACTAAAGACTTTCTTTTTCCTTCTTTCCTTCAGCTCCAATGTGTTCCGTATGATAAAAGAGACACGTGAGCTGTGGGACAGAAGCAGGATGTGCTTAATTTCTTTAAAACATCGTCTCCTGTTACTGATGTCATCAGCCTTCTGCAGGAATCCCTCAGTCTGTTGTCACTTTCACTTGTCTGATGAGGGGAACCCTGTCTATCCATGTAGATTCTTTACATGGATCAGAATCCTTATTCTCTTCTCACCATGTACTGGCTTTTTGGGGGATCCTGACATGGATACAACAGCCTCTTCTGCTTCAGATAGTCACTTTTGCATGATGAAAGCAACAATGAAGATGACAGGGCCAGTGTGCTCCCTCTCATCATCTGTGTTTCTCACATGGTTTAATAATGACTGACTACTTAGAATCTGTGACATTAAGACAGTGACTTTGACGGCTGTGGAAGAACAGTTATTCTGTTTCTGGCTATAGCTTATTTATTGTAAGCAATGTTAATTTTCTTTTGGGAAAATCCTGTTCATTTGGGCAAATATTTATTGGTATTCATGCCACTTTGGCATTCATATTTCTCTTTAAACTTTCCACTTGCTGATTTCTGGAAGTGTTCCTCATAGCCACGCTTCTCATCCTAAAGTGCCACAAATATACCGTGTCTTTCACTATGAATGTGGCCAAAAAGAAAACAGGAGGTGCCAGAAAACAACAGGAAAGCCCAATGATATCTGCCTTCCATTCTGTGCCTTAAATACAAGCTTTGGGGCAGTCTGGATAAAAACAGTGGCCATCAAGAGTGGTATCAGAAGTCAAGTACTCTACCAGTAGGAATGAAATATATATAAAATAAGCCAACTGCAATTCCTGGAAAGCAAGCCATTCTCACCCACACATTGGCCCAATGCATATTTATCTTCCTTTACTTAGTGATAAAATGAAATAGAATTGAACAGGACCTTTTCAATCCAGTTCTCTGTTTTTCCCAAAATGAACACAGATCTCTAGATTCAAAGACTGAGCTTGGAAATTTACTTTTAAAGAGAATTAATATAATGACAAGTTGAGTTGCCCGTAACTGACCAGTGGTTCCCAAATCATCAGCCTACTGCTAATACTCAAGTTTCAACCAATGGTTTCACTCTTTCATAATTCTTACAATAACTTTACAACCTCTCAATGGAAGTCCAAATCACAAAGATTTGAACCTTTTCACTCTCTTCACAATGGCAGGCTAAGTGCCAATCTCTATCTTTCTCCTTGACATCCATGGCCTAATCTCAATCATCTGGCAAAAGTACAGTGGTATAGGTAATACACGTTCCTCCTGTCCTTTCATGTGCCATTGCACAAGCTTCTGTTGCTTCCTTAGACTGAAGTAAAGAAATGTTACTGGTCATTGTCCCAAGGCATTAGTGGAGGAACTGCACCAGGAACTCAGCAATGAGATGGATTTTCTGGACTTGTAATATGCAAGGGTTGAGGCAGGAGAATGGATCCCTATGTCCATTTTGCTTTGTTTCTCTTTTTCTGATGTTAAACTTGGCTTGTTTAGTAAAGGTTCCATTTTGCTTTGTCTCTCTTTTTTTCTGATATTAAACTTAGCTTGTTTAGTAAAGGTTCCCCTTGACATTTAGTCCAGTCGTGTCCGACTCTAGGGCGTGGTGCGCATCTCCGTCTCCAAGCTGTAGAGCCAGTGTTTGTCTGTACACAGTTTCCATGGTCACGTGGCCAGCACAACTAGACACGGAACGCTATTACCTTCCCACCAAGGTGGTACCTATTTATCTACTCCCATTTGCATGGTTTCGAACTGCTAGGTTAGCAGGAGCTGGGATGAGTGACGGGAGCTCACTCCGTCGCGTGGATTCAATCTTACGACTGCTTGTCTTATGACCTTGCAGCACAGAGGCTTCTGTGGTTTAATCCGCAGCGCCACCATGTCCCTTGTTTAAAATGTAAACATGGCTTGTTTAAAATGTTGAAATTATTTGTAAAAGTTAATCCAAACATTAGTATGCATATTTTTTGCATTTTTTCTAAAATCTGCCAAGTGTTTTCCTTTGACAAAATAAAGCACATTTATCATCTACAAAAAAGGAGCCCTTTGTAATTTCATCCCATGAGAAGTACAGCTGACGCAAATGTTATCCTTTATTTGGTACCAGATTAAACCCTTTTAACTCATCCAGGCATTTTTCATGTAGTTTCCTCCCCCTTGAACCGGTTGAATTTGGCTATATGTTTAGATTTTATGTAGTTTTTCATATATTAAATATGTGATGTTTATACAGAACATCTTGAGATCTTCTTGGGATGAAGTATGATGAAGTATGATGGATGGATGGATGGATGGATGGATGGATGGATGGATGGATGGATGGATGGATGGATGGATGGATGGATGGATGGATGGATGGATAGATAGATAGATAGATAGATAGATAGAATAGATAGATAGATAGATAGATAGATAGATAGATAGATAGATAGATAGATAACATTTACCTGTCATAGAAGTCATCTCTATAGTAGTCGTAGTCAAAGTCATATCCACTGAAAACCAAAGAAAATCAAACAAGTATTGTTATAATTTTCCTATTGATCCTTATTTGCCTGTTTCATGAGCCAACATACTTTGGACACATCCTGAGAAGGCAAGCCTTGCTGGAAAAGACAATAAGGCTGTGAAAAATTGAAGTCAACTGGAAAAGAGGAAGACCAAATAAGAGACGAATTGACTTCTTAAAGGAAGCTACAGCCCTGAGTTTACAAGAGCTAGGCATGACTGATGAGGACAGGACAATTTGAAGGTCACTCATTCATAGGGACACTGTTAAGTCAGAGGTAACATAACAGCTCAAAACACTGATGACATTCTTAATCTGTTGCCCTTCATATACAACCTCTCAATGACTGCAGCTTCTATTGCACTAAAGAAACAAGCAAAGTACCAAGTTGGGGAAGGTGCTTTATGAATTTCAAGATGGAAGACAGTGAAAACATGTTTTATGTATTCTCGAAGGCAAAAACATGTTTTGTTTGACAACTAGGGATTTAAAAATCCCCCCAGAAAACTATACAAGAAACTTCTCTGAGCTATAGTTCACTGCTTCCTGTCGATACAACCAGCATAGTGCTAGTGGCTGACCTGATAACTCACCATTACCCTTTCCCACCCAAAAGTGGTAATTTATACACTTCTGTGAAGGGCTTTGACTATCATGTCAAAGCCCTTCATAGAAGAAAACTTTCAGCATGAATTCTGATGGCAAAAAGTAGGAATTGAAAGCGTTGACATTTCCTATTGAAAAAGAAGGCAGCAATGTGTCAATTTAAAAGGTCGTCTCACAAGTGATTTTTAAAAATTGTGCCTTGACATCTTTGACTTCACAGTGACATTGAAGTAACATTTCGGGATCATAAAAACCACCAGAGATTTAAAGCTCAACTCTCACCATGTTCCACAGAATTCCCTGCCCTTTTTCTTATACTACCAGAGGCTCCTGGGGGGTAGAATATTGGACTTGAATTGTGGCTGGCCCAAGGCATTAAGCTGCCTGAAGTGAAGGCCAAGATTTTCCCCTCACCACTGTCCATATATAGACGATAGCTGGACTGACTGCTGAATCACAATTTAAGATTCAGGGGTAGAATCCTTCACCACCCCTGAGGCAGTAGACATTGTCACTCTTCAACAAATATAAGTTGCACAATGGGATATCAGTTTCTATGTTCACATCAGTCACACAAAATGTCTGAAGGTTTCACTGTGTGGAGTCCAGAGTTACAACTAGCTACTTTGGTGTCTTTGAATTGTGGTGCTGTAGGAGGCTCTTGAGAGTCCCCTGGATTGCAAGGAGAACAAACCTATCAATTCTAAAGGAAATCAACCCTGAGTGCTCACTGGAAGGACAGATCCTGAAGCTGAGGCTCCAATACTTTGGCCATCTCATGAGAAGAGAAGACTCCTTGAAAAAGACCTTGATGTTGGGAAAGTGTGACGGCAAGAGGAGAAGGGGACGGCAGAGGATGAGATGGCTGGACAGTGTCTACGAAGCAACCAACAAGAAGTTGACACAACTACGGGAGGCAGTGAAGGATAAGAGGGCCTGACGTACTCTGGTTCATAGGGTCACGAAGAGTCGGACACGACTAAACAACTAAACGAACGAACTTTGGTGCCTGGGATTTTCTGCCCTATTTGTTAAGCTTGGGCCATGTGAGATTGGCACATGTGGCGACAGGATGGAGGAATGGGGAGGAAGACCTCCGTTTGACTGTCTGGTGACTATATCGGTTCCATATTATGTTTGGGGTTTTTTTTGTGCCCAAGGAGGACCAGCTAGAAACTGGAAGTGGTGTGTGTGCTCAGGCCAGGTGGATTCACACCATTTAAATGTTGGTGCCCTGAGCCAAAACTTCAGTCACCCAGTTCAGTCAATAATAACTCTGGTGGATTTACATTGCTTGTTCAAATCAAATCTATATAATTTGATCCAGGGTTTTCTTGAAGGCATCCTGTGCAGCTGGTTCAGTCTATTCCAAACTGTACCATATGTGAAAGAATAAGTGCAGAGACTAGAATAAATAGTTAGGAGGATGTCATCACTACACCCATGCATCTGTTGCCTGAGGCAGTTTCCTCACCCTGCATAATGGAAGGGCCATCCCTCCCTTGGACTAAGGTGATCTAGGTTCAAATTTCTCCCCAGCCACTGCAATCATAGCCATCAGCATAGGCTAGTCATCACATTTTAGCTGAATTCATGGCTCCATTGGGCAGTTGTTTCCTTTGCTATACTGTGCCCCTGGAAATGGCCACATTTATATTCTCTATTTTCTCAAAGGAATTCAATATAGCCTATGTCATCTGCTCATGCCTCCTCCATATTTCTAATTACAACAACTCTGTGAGGTGAATTAGGTTCAGAGATAATAACTACAAGTTTCATGGGCAAATGAAGATTTGAACTCAGATCCCCTAGCTAACCACAGGACAACGTTGGCTTTCTCATTGCAGTGCTTTTCTTGCTTTTATGCTTGAAAGTTCTGCATTGTTAGGATTATGGGCAAAATGGTATTTTTTCATGAGAATATCTCACAGATAGTGCAAACAAAAACTTTTTTCTTTTCTTCCCAACAATAGTCAGAGGAAATATTTTTGGTAGCTTCAAGGGCATTGCCTGGTTGCTTTTTAAAATGGCTTTCATTCTAGTCTATAAATTCAAGAGCCAGTAGTATATAAGAAGTATTCTTTTACATGTGTTGTATTCAGAATGGTAAAAAGAGAAAAACTGTCTCTATGGTGAGAAAAGTGTGGGAAGGCATCTTAAAAATCTTGAACAATGTAACTGAGCAGAAACTTTAATAAAATACCTTTTTAGTATGAACAATGGAAATGAAAGCTTACACTTAACCTTCAGTGGTTGAAATCCAGTAGTAAGTCACAACTAAAACAGACTCATAGAACCAGAGAGGATGTGATGAGTCAACTTATCTGTAAATTCAATTGATGCAATAGGCCTACTCCAGATGAAAATTACCACTGGTTTCAGCCAGTAACTAACAAGGTTCCAATAAATGTACTCCAAGACTTCGATTGAAACCATTTAAATAGGGGATGGTGGAAAATCTATTCCTTGTCACTGAAATATAGTTCAACATGTAGACCTCTGCATGCTGTTAATCTGATATAGAATAATAGTACTCCTCAATATGTAGCTTGTCAAGAAACTGGAAAATGAAGGGATTATGGTTTCAGTTGCTTTTTAAACTCAGGCCTATTAGCTGGTGCGGGGACAGGTGGGCCACAAGAGAAGGGGAGAAACTGCCTGTTAATTGGAAGGTCTGGCCAGTTGTGTCTTATTTGTACGAGAAGGAATTTCATAAAACACTCATGGCAGAACTCTCTCTGGTACCAAGCTAAATAGTGAGAATTTGTTTCAGCTGAGAAGGGTGGGGGAAGGAGTGAAGCTTATTTAGTTACTCCCTTCTAGAAGCTTTGGAGAGACTCAGAGTCTGGTGGAATGATCTCAGAAGGTCTGTAAGCAGGGTGACGTGTCTGATGATATAAAAACAGCATTAGGAATTTGCTTAGTTTAGCTTGGTTTCTCTGAGGAGAATGCTACACTCCCCTGCTGTCTTGGTGCTTGATTTACTGCACAATCTGAATATGCTCTGGAACTATGCTAAAGTTCTGTTTTAATGAAAGTAGTCTAGAATAGTTAGCTTTCTTATTTTCTGTAGGAACTTTTTTGGAACTAAGTTTTGAAACTGCTTGTGACTTAATTTCTTTATTTTCGCACCATCTGTCGTTATTTTGGGCAGAACGTGGTTTGCTGGTACTAAAGGGCCTTACCTTGATCTACTGGATCCTACAGACTTTGTGGGTATTTTAGTATTGCTACTTGGCAGGATTGTCATGCAAACTAAACTGTGCAATCTGCTGATCTTTTGGTACTTCCCTGGAGCACTGAGGATGAGAGAGGCTTGGGAGGAGACTGGACAGGAAGATTTTCTTCAGCTATCAGCATATTCACCCTTTGGAGCTTACGTACACTGGAAAAGACTTGATAGTGTATCTGAGTGGTTTGTGAGGATCTCTCTCCTGGTCATAATCTTGACATAGCTTCAAATAAGGGGCAATAACAGGAGTGCCATATTATGTACTTGTAGATATGCTTGTATGTGTGAGTACCTAGGCATCAAGATACATGTGGATGTCTCTCTGAAATGTTTTATATATTTTGTTTTGATATGATTTTGCAAATATGGTGTTAAATACTAGGAGAAACCAAGGGTTTCTTCTTTTAACCTCACTATTCTGGCTGGTGTGGAGAGACTGGACATACTGGTGTATGCTTCAACATGTTCTGATTTTTCCTTGAAAAAAAAAGGAAAGGAACAAAAGAAATAAATTTTAGCACATTTTTTCTCAGCCTGTTTGAAATATATAGGTATCCATCTTGAAATGCTTCAAGGTATCAGTGGGCATATTTTATTTTGTGATCAGTCAGGGTATTTTCCTTCATTCTACTGTGATTGGATTTCCCCTTCAATGAGTTTGCATTCATATTTTCAGTGCTGCTGAAGCTCAAAAGGAAGTCAGGGTGTGCACGTGCCCCTGAGCTTGGAAGCAAAGTGCAAGAAAATGAAACAGGAAATGTGCTGATAAAAAGGCCTACAATGAAATTCATTGGACTACAGTGGAATACAGAGTGCTGTCTGCATTCCTTAGTGTTACCCACAGATCTAGCTTCCTCAACCTGGTTCTGTCTAAGTATGTTGGGGTGCAGCTTCCACCATCCTGAGCAACAGGCATGGGAGTTTTAGTTTTAAAAGCATGTAAATGGTACCACTACACTGAAAGATGCCCTGCTCTACAGAAATCCTCCACTCTAAATTTGGCAATCGGTAACTGTCTAAGCTGGCATTTCATTTCACTTGCAATAGTCTCACCAAAGCCAGGTACCTTAGTGATTTATTTTCTTAATGTAATTTGGAGTGGTAATGATTAATGACTGGCATAATTAAAGGGGAGGTGGTCTGAGGGC